TCTAAGACTTCAACTTAAACAATCATACGGTATTCGTACCCTAACAACGTTATGCGAAACTTTGAAAGAGATTTCATAAGCAGCTTTGGTTTGGGTAAAGGTGTGATGAAATCTTAGTAGTTTTGTTCTTAAATCACAACAAATTATGAAAATAACTAACCTCGCGATATCGCATCAAATTACATGTTGCGAGAAAATGTTCAGTAAATGCACTATTTCACCCTTTCCTCCCTTTTTAAATCATTCAACTTCATTGTGCAATAGAATCAATTTATGGGTCATGTAAGACGACTTTAAAATTCATCAGAATTTTAATCCTATGATGCCACAAAATTTACTTATCACCATTATGTTTTTCTAAATGTGCAATGTCGTTTACCTATTTTTGTATGTATTGAAAAAACTCAAAAACTTCTAGGACGATTTCAAAAAATCTTTCACCATTAAAAACCTAAGATATCAGTAGGTAACACAGACTATGTTTTGATTATTTATCAATGTAACGAGGACCAAGTAATAGCTAGCACATTTATAAAAACACATATTAATATTGCTTACCCTGACTTCATTTGGATATACGGAGTTGTCCGTGTACGCGCAGAGTAGATCAACGCAAAGCGGGTGACACTGTCTGAACTTGGAGGCCAAGAGCAACGCGGTGACAGCAAGCAATTGCAGCTGCTGTCGCGAGATGGCGCGGTGCGACAGGAACCGGTCCATGTAGCTCACCGCTAATGGGAACACCTGCTCCTCGCATTGTTGTTCCTCGCACACCTAGTAAACAAATATATGGTACTATAACGAGGCATTTATAGGAGTAAATAAACTTTACCACGTGGGTAAGTGTACTTTGACTTAGGTTAACAGGAATTATGCAAACGTGTTTACTTGACATACAAGTTTTGCAAATCTTGTAGATTTAAAAAAAAAGAATAAAAAATGAAAAAGTATATAAAAGAGTATTAAATCACGCAGTACACAAGAGGTTCGACTTTTATTAAAAAAATGCTACGTCAAAAACGTTTACTACTATCCCCGTTCAATATAAACACAAGTTCTATCTTAAAAATCTAAACAAAAGTATTATTTACTATTTCACATCATATTATTAAAGTAGTTTATTGTTATCAATATAACGATATACCTTACCCATATTATGCAAACCTACTTTAGATGAATAATCTGTTTACATTAACAGCTGACAAGTAATCCACTGAATGAGGGTACTTTTAAATACAATTCCGTAAACAAAGCTCACTTTTTCTTATTACTATACTTTTAATATGAATTTAATAAATGTTACCCATATAAATTAACGGCACTTTGTCGGTTTAAATGTAAATTTCCAATGTAAGGCGATAACAAAGCTTAAAAGCCCCACAATTGTAGGTCATTGACACTACATTAATCAGCTGTTGATGCAAGTAGGATGAACGACGTCTTCACACAATTTGCTTACAACAACGAAAGTAACTCGTGTGAATAATAAAGCTAATCTTACTCAGTAACTAACAAGTACATAGAATTCTTATGAATAAACAAATAATTTATATAAAGTTACCTCTAACATCCATGTTGTGACAACTTTTCTCATGAACGGTTGTATATCAATCTGTACAGTTTGGAAGTAATCTGTGTGCAGAGCATGTGCTCGCTCCAGTGTAAGAAGGTTCAGCAGGAGCCGAGGGTCGCGGTCTAAAGCCCTGTCGGGGCCGGCGACGCACATGTCTGCCGTTCTTCCACTGCTCCCGCTGCGATTGCCTGAATTAGGCAGATTCTCTCCACAGGATAAATCCATTCTGGTCCACAATATACACTTAATCCACACACGTGCAGTACCAATGGAGTTTCAATAATTTTCTGAAAAATATAACTCGCGCAATATTTTTTACGTAAGTTTGTAAGAGCATAAAAGCACGTCGCCGCGCTAACAGCGGCTCACGAGCGACTACGAAGTGAAGCTATGCGTTTGCGTCGGAACTCGACTACGGTCCGTAATTGTTATCGTAACCCCTCCCTTGGCCCTTATAAATAGGTATACCATGGTAATAGAAAACTTCGGACACCTTATTGATTGCTCCCTTGATTTAATAACAATTTCTAAGAATTTTTGGAAGAAAGCTATTTAATGAAAACATTTTAACAGTAAATATCGTAATCCGCAATTTCTATAACGATTCGAGAATTAATGGCTGAAGGCAAATATTTTTTTTCTACTTGAGGAATACCATTTTGTAAATTTTTAATTTAATTTGCTATTTGATAAATTAGATTATATTGATGAAATAAATATTTTCTTGATTTAATTTTCGAAACATACGAAAATTTTCATGCATTAATGAAATAATTAGACGGGACAAATCGCAAGACATGGTTAACCTACTTAGGGTTGCTTTTTATTTGAAAGTAATTTTTTGTAATGTTGTAATATAGAATGATGGAAATAGAAATACGTATATAATGGTTAAAGATTACGACGTCTATATATTCGAAATACCTTCAAATTTCTATTGTTGAATAAAGCAGTAAGTTCATATAAACTATCACAAGAAAATCATTAGATGTACAATTAACATTCTCATATGGAAAAAAAGATGGATTGCGTGAAAGGTGACACGACCAAATAGGGAGTGATTACTGAGATGACGTATGATAAGGCTATGTGGAGAACAAGAACCCGCTGGAAGACCTTACGGGAGTTAAGGGGGGAGATGATGATGATGATGATCATATGAATCCGTCTCTATTCTATTCCATATGCCCAAGCTTTAATTCCAAAGCACTTACGATATTTAAATCTCCAAATACCTATTGATATCGTCAAGGGTCAATTAGTGACCCGCATGGTTTTTCCTTTCATCCCCATAAACTGTTTAAAAGTAATGTTTTTCGCATAGCGCAGAAAATCTCGTTCAACAAACGTTTAATGTTTCATTCCATTTAGTACAAAAAAAAACTCTTATTAAACTTTTTTTATTTAATCGTTTTACACTCCAATAGTTTTACAAACGAAACACCGGTTCCAATTTTTACGATTATATTTTAACAGCCTTAACATAACAATTGTACGAATAAAATAATAACACATTAAAAATGTAATTCCAACAATGGGAGGTGTTTTATTCGGAGGGCGATGGAACGTAGCGAGAGGGCTGAGGGCAGCTGCGCACGCGCCGGCGCCGGGTGCGCGGAGGCCGGTTGACATTGCATTGTAAATCCCAACACACCTGATCTACGAAACTAGTCATTATAACAACTCCATTCTCTTTACAGATTTCCATTGTAAATGCACGCGTGCGCAAAGCGTGTTCTTTTTAAAATTCAAATTGCCCGACTTTGTTAACAACACCTGGCGTAGTACTATTGTATTCCGAACTGACCAAATCTTCAAATGCATTCAAAAATAAGTTTCTTCTTAATTTCATCTGCTTTTTAAAAGCCTCGGTACAATAATTTCTTAAAGAACATAAGATTCTTGTTAAATAAGTAACTAACACTTTTTATCATTGATGAATGCATTTCTGTAGAATGGAATCGCCTTAACCACAACCTTCCAGTCTGTGACATATATCATTCCAAGGAACCCAGTTATGCCGTAAGCCACCATCGAAGGAATAAAGGAAATCAACTGTTGTGAAAGCTTCTTACCAATATTCATCTCTAATGTTGATTTAAAAATACTTATGCAAGGTGTAAAGAATATTCGTTGTGCTAAGAATATATATTGAATAACGGATCAAAAAGTTGTACCAATAAAATGGTGCTTTACAAAATTTTATTTGATAAATACTTCTAAAACTAAAGTCATTAAGCGCCACAAAAACTTTCACATAATTTTGACAATTACGCGGACATTAAAGATTTGTTGATGGCTGAAAACCAAAAAGGTTGCATACTCTCACAGTCACCGAGCACATTTACACACAGTCTCATCTTGTTGAGAACCTAACCTAGCACAGCATGCAATATTTAAATTACTACCACCACCACAAGCTAACCACTAATTACGATGTTACTAATTTGTCAACCCATCCCATTTCTACCTCTCATTTTTTTAAGTGAAGCGGAACTAAACAAAATTTAATTGTGGTCATTATATGTTTGTGTGGTTCCCATATTTTAATAAATAGCAGGACAAAATTGCTATTTTGTAGACATTTTTTTAGTTAAAAAATAATAAGTTTCTTTGACGATAGAGTCGAGGGAAGATAATGATTGATAGCAACCTATTTGCAAAACCTTTTCTCTAATGAATCAAAAAGTGGTGGCAAATTTGTAATTGTTGCCTACCCTTTTGAGTAACAAGTATGAGCGTTTATTTTTTCTTTACTAATCAATTTTGAGGCCCTCTAATGTTGAAATTACATAACATTCTTATGCTGTAAGAAAGCTTAGATTATTTTTTTTATTATTGTTGTTTTGAACACTCATTAGGCGAGATCATGTATATGTAGGTAAACCCTTTAAATCATTTGTGTTGGACGGTTACTTTCTGCCGTTCCGTGTCTGGAGGTGTGGGGTTAATGAAACACTTTCTTCACATATTTAATAGGTATATTATCAGCATAAAACAATTACATTTTTATTTTATACAATCTCATATTTTAAATATGTTATCCGGTACGTGTCAAGATGAGAAGTCATTCATAAACATCAATTGTACAATTCCTTATAAAAAATACATTGTTCCAATATTAAAACCATCCTACTTGTGTAAAGTGTTGCCTTTTTGTATAATATAAGATGTTAATGCAGGCTCTACCACTGTTACAGGTTACAATATATGAATATGACAGGATTGCTAACTGAGTCTGCTTTCCAGATACGCTGCAAGCAAGTTTTCGCAGGAAAGAGAACAGTTGCGGAAAAAAGAATAAAACATATATACATCGACAGTTGTAGACGCGACGTGAAAAAAGAAAAAAAGAAATGTCAAAGTCAAATGTCAAAGTGGAATGAAGTAAAATAAATAAACTATGTTAAAACTCTGCTATCAATATTTAATTATATTAGGTTACGGACACGCACAACCAAAATCGATGGAATCGTAGGAAAGCTACTAATCGGTACTCTAGATGGAAAAAATTGGGACACCTGGAAATGTAAAGCCCTGTGCTTATTACGCACTGAACCGTCGGCCCTAGAAATAGTAGAAGGTTCGTTCCAATTAACGGCTTATCAAGAAGAAAAAAATAAGTACGATAAAGCAGATGCAAATGCTAACCTGATTCTTAACACTAATATGGAAGAGGAGACTCTTAGAAAAGTTATGCGCTACATTAAACCACGAAATGTATGGTTAAAAATCTGCAGGTTGTTTGACGAAACAAGCGAGGAGAAAACGTACAATCTGTGTATGAGCTTCTTCAGCTTTAAGAAGAATCAAGCAGACGACATAGTCAACCACATGTCAAAATTAAAGAACATCTGGACTGAATTAAATCAAGAACTCAAGAAAGACAGTAACCAAAAGATACCTGAACTGCTACTTATTTGTAAAATACTGGACACGCTTGACGATCCAGACTTCAGCTTCAGAAGTAGTTGGGCACTGCAAGGTAACAACGCACCCTCGCATCCAACGGAAGCGCTGGTTTTAAATAGGAAGCAGAAGGTCAAAAAGCTTAAATTCAATTACTGCCTAGTTATTGGCCACAGAGTACGCCGCTGTCAAAAATGGATCGGTGACGGTAGACCTCCTAAGAGCTAGAATCCGATTCACACAGCAACACCTTATACTTCAAAGACCGCTAACTTAGTACTCATGTCTTTAGAACATAGCGAAATCTTCACAGTTTCACGGGACAATGAGAATTGGTACATCGTTATTGGCGCAACAAGCCACGTCACCAACAGAGCTGATATTTTCCAAACATACGAACATTTCTCGGAGAACTACACTGTTACAACGTCCACTGGTAATGAAGTCCGTACCAAAGGCAAAGGTCCAGTACAGCTCACAGGATATGTTAACGGGAAACAAAAAAATATCAGCCTGCAAGACGTCTGGTATGTTTCGGCCATAAGAAAGAACCTCTTCTGCGTACTCGCACTTCAAGACCCGAATAGCACCTTTTCATCCAGAACAACTGGATTAAACGTCATTGTCAACGGGAAAGTATGCTTAATAGGGAAAAGACAGAAACAAGGTGGCTTATATCGACTGGAAGTAAAACCCCTACTGCCAGAATCACCAGCCGAAGTCTTTGCAACTATTTTTGTAGTATCTCTGTAGTGTGTCCAAATATTCTTTACTTGTTGCATTTTTTAATATTTGCAAAATCTTGATATATGTCCAGGTTTTTGCGGATAAAACAATTTTTTTCCTTTCCTTTCAGAATTTCTTGTGTTTCTCTCAGAATAATCCTCTCTTACACCAATATCATTACTTCTTAAATTTTCTACCAGATTATCATTTGTTTCAATGGTATTTCTGTCGCCATTGGTTTTAGCTTCAATTGTCATTAAAATGTCTAAAACTTACAATTCTGCCTATTTCTTCTCGATTTTCATTTCCTGCATTATCTCCCTATACCATCATCTTCTCGAACTTCATAAACTCCGTTACCTCTTCTTTCAATATCTCTTCCTCGAACTTCTTGTTATTTTCCATACTTTCTTCATTCTTAAAATTGATTTTTGTTGTATCTTTGATTGCTATGAATAATTTTAATCAACAGTCTAGTTGCTATGGCTATTTTCTTGTTTCAAATTCTTGGAGAAATTATTAAATTTTAATCTTTTAAATATTCTGGGCCCCATAACCTGTTGGACGGTTATCTCTTCCGTCTCGGGCTCTGGAGGTGTAGGGATATTGAAACACTCTTCACATATTTAATAGATATGTTATCAGCATAAAACAATCACATTTTATATTCTATACAATCTCATTTTTTTTATATGTTACGCGGTACGTGTCGAGTTAAAAGTCATTCATGAATCATGAACATCAAACATCAATTCCACAAAAAAAAATCGTTCAATTCAAATATTCAAAACCATCCAACTTATGTAAAGTGTTGCCTGCCAGTTACAAAACATATAAAAACTCCAATAATTTGAAAACCTGTTTTAAAATTATACATACAAAAATGTGAGTTCTAAGTTTTCCGTAGGCATAAGTTATCTCTGGTCGACTTCGATGTCTTAAAAAAAAACTTTTGACATTTATCCATCTATCTTTTGACATTTAAGACAGTGACCAATATTGACAAGTGACATTCAATAATTAAACAATAACAGAAACAAAGCCCCTTTTTTCAACTAAGTGCAACCTCGGGTGTGCTAATTAATCTTTAATGATGGCTTCAGAAAAAGACCCGCTAATAAGTGAACGCTCGGGATCTGTACGAGAAGTCGGAAACCATGCTATTTGGAGTCTCTCATCATGCAAACCGGGTTAGTTTTTCTTATTCCTTGAACTACGCAAAGAAAAGGAAAGTAAATAAACTATAGTCAATTATTATTGCAGGTTTTGGAATTGACCAATTAAGAGATGATTGCATGGACACTTATTGGCAATCAGATGGGCAACTACCGCATCTTGTAAACATACAATTTCAAAGAAAAACTATGGTGTCCCACATTTATATCTACACGGATTACAAGTTGGATGAGAGTTATACTCCCAGTAGAATATCCATTCGTGCTGGAACACACTTCAATGATCTTCAAGAAATAGAAGTTATTGAATTAATTGAGCCAAGTGGTATGTTAACAAAATTATCTTAATAAAACTGTACAATTTTTAAACTGACTCAAAAAAAGAGAAGGATCTTAAATCTATCTGTTTTTTATGTATGTGCAATGATTGCTCTTCAGCTTAAGATTCAATCTACATAATTCTTTTTAGTTTGATTAAACCACTAACATTTAGTAACTGTGATTGCTGGTTTGCTTGGTTGCTCACCAAAAGTAGGAAATGTTGATGTTTAGGAGTTTTCTTTGCAGGTTGGGAAATGATACCTATAAAAGATATTCATGATAGACCTATCAGAACCTACATGATTCAAATTGCGGTACTAAGCAACCATCAAAATGGAAGGGACACTCACATGAGACAGATCAAAATCCATTCTCCGTGTGAACCTACATCATTTGATCTGAATAAATTGCACAACTTTTCTACAGTAAAATTCCAACAATACTCAACTATTCGGTAAAATAAATTCAATTAAATGTGTTTAAATATTTATTAATATCATAACAGAATGTTTTATTATTTATATATACATTATTCTGATTCTTCACTCTCTTCGCTTGCTTCTTGAAGCCATTCAAAGAACTTGACTAGTGATGTTTGATTGACAATGGGGCTTTCATTATCCTTCAAGTCATCATACCATTCAACCAATGAATCTTCATCAACAACATCCGTCTCATATAAGAGATGTAGAATTTGACCTGCTTTACCCTCCAACCAGTCACATTTTATACAACTTTCCTGTAAAATAAATGGTTCAATCATTCCTCTATACTTTTTTAATTAGTCCTCAAATACAATAAGATTGCATTAACCTGCTTACCACATTAGTATTCATAAGTTCAATCATAAGTTTAAGAATTGGTCTAAAAATAAATCAATACCATGATCCAATAAACAAATTTAAAAAAAAGTTAAAAATCTCAGTACTATAGACATATTACTGAGCTTTTACAGTTTATTTGTTGTAAAACTTATTAAAACTCACCTCCACTGCTCTTAAGCAATCCATTATTGATGATTTAGTCTTGATGTAATTCAACAAAATTGGCCGGAAAAACTTCAATATATCTTTGACAGTGATCAGAACACTTTTACTATCAACAAGTATAGGCATACTGAGCATAGCTCTAATAACAAAGAAGTTAACTTCATGTAATTGTATGTTGTAAGCATATCTAGATGAGTTTATTTCTAAAATTAAGTAGTCACATTTCATTTTCTCTTCATATCCTCTTGCAAGACTGTCAATAACTTCTTGTAAGAATACTAAAAAAAAAATTGGACCCATATTAATTAATATGTGTTTTGGTATATATATAAGTACTAAATACAGAGTATGTGTGAAAAGAGTTTCATTGGATAGTGTCACTTAATATTTGTGTTAAATTCATACAATGACATTATTATTCTATGGTTGGATGTTTATTACTATGTAATAGCTCAACAGATCTCACTGAAATTTGGTATGGTATGGTATGGTATGTCACATAGTCTGTGGGAAATCATAAGCAACTATTTTTTTTTTAAATTCTGTGTTGACCAGTTAAATAAACATAGCTTACTATTGGTATCTTCTGGTACTGGTGACTCGGGCAAGGAAGATTGTGCACTGCTATCTGATGAATAACAGGATTCACTGTCGCTCCACACTTTATCGAATCCTACAAACTCCTCATCTCCACTACCATCAGATTCATTCTCCCACTCAGTGCCACTTTCTGAAGTTGATTTCACTAGATTCTTTTCTGCCAACAAAGCATAGTATAACATAAATATATGTCTAAATACAAAATTAAATAAATAGAGCAACATTAAAATTCAATACAAGGGAATAATTTTTGCCCTTTTAGTTGATTTTGACAATTGGTACATAAAGTGAAACATTTATTTTTATACGTGCAGCTTGTCTATGATAAAAATATGTCTATATTTGAAAATTACATGTTATTTCCGAAGACTTACCATTCTTATCTTCTTCAGAACATTCAATAATGGCACCTTTCAACTTACTTTCTGCGTTTATGTTCACATTCTCAGCTACAATTGTACCATTCTCTATAAGTGCATCTGCATTTACTACACAATTGTTGTCAATAAATGAATTGATAATTTTACAATTATCTTTAATGGTAACATTGTCCATTATTTGACTTCCTGCTAAGGTAACATTATTTCCTATTTTACAATTATTACCAATCATAGTTTTTGTTATTGTTGTGTTATCACAAATTTCTGTATCGGCACCTATCAGTACATCTTCTACTAGTGTACAAGATCTAAAATAACAAAAAATTATATGCATATTCCAAAAAAAAATCTACATATTACCTTCAATAATTTCTTACCTGCTTAACTTTGATGTTATTTTCCGGAAATTATAATTTTCCATAAAAATATAGTTGTTTTGAAAGAATGATCCAGTCTCAATTGATAAAGGATATACCCAGTTATGTAATATATCCCATCTAAAATTAAACATGTATCATTAAAACCCTTTACATAGACAGATGCCTGAGATCAATTTCTCAAGATGTTGAGATTCATTCATTCTCACAACTCTTGCATCTTCTATATTAAAACAATAACTCTCAGAGCAGGCGCACACCTTTGACTAAACTGACAACTGTAGTGCGATTGTCAATTGTTTCACAGCCCATTCAACTGTTTAGTTGTTCAGCTAAAAATCGAGTAGTGTACACACCTCCATATAAGCTCATAGGAATCAAAGCAACTAAACAGTTGTGCGATAGTTTGTAGTATGTGCTCTACCACTGCTCTTAAACCATAGTAAAATATTACATATGGTAATGTCAAATTTATATGTTTTCAATTTAATAGAAAATCATCATTACACTTACGAAATAATTTGGTAAGTTTTCCAGTTAGTGATAGCAGCAGCATATTGGTTTTCTTTAAGAATTTTGTAATACAATGAACTTGCTAATATTTCCTCATTAATCAACACACCATTGACAAAATCATCTCTAGTTTGGAAATCAAAATTATCAGCAAATAAGGGAAGTACTGAAGGTGAACATAATGCAATGTTACAATCAACCAAATTATGATGCAATTTTGCTTCTGAATGACTTAATATACAATCCTGAAATCATTTTTTTTTTAAATCACATAAAATATAAATACAGTTAATTGAATATGAGAACATTCGTTTCCTAAGGTAAGAATATCATCTCAAAAATCAATAAAATAGCTTAACTCTGCAAATTATTTAAAATATCTGAAAATATACCAAGAATTCTGTATTAATTAAATTAAAATACACTTACAAGTGGTAATTGCAATATATTGTTATTAGATCTAGTTTTTTCATGAATGAGGACTTTATTTGTGTTTCCATCAGCTGCTAAAAATAATGGTTTATTATTTTTAATTAATGGATGTTCCCAGGAAACTCTCTTATAGATCAGTGTCATTGCAGCCTCCTTATCCTTTTTACATGTCAATCTTAAAAATAAACAAGTAATTTTTATTACATTGTGTTTGTGTCAATTGGACTCTAATATTATTCAACTTACTTGTGTTCTTCAAGCAAGGATGCAAAGTTAATATTTGTAATGCTATTAACTCCCAATAATACAAAATATCCTCTAACAAGACCAGCTGCATCAATTTCTCTCATTACATCACCCATTGTTTGACAAGTCTCGGACATAATAACTTGCACATCCATAGTTAAACTCCATGGTGCTTTCTTTTGTTTTGTTGTCCTATATCACAAGATTAATGTTAGTTAACTTAAATTCCTATTGACATGACAGAAACAAGTATTAAGATTTACTTTATATGCTCCTTTATTTTAGGTCCATCTTGACAGCAGAACAAAATTGTTTCACCTACTCCACCAAGAACTAACGATTCCAAAACATGATCGATAAGTGGCACTCCTGCTACAGAGAGTAGGCCCTGAAAATTACCATTACAATTGTCACATTTATGTTTTTCGTTAACCAACTATGTCAAAATCATTCATTAAAGCTTACCATAGGCTTAGTTTTATTAATAGGAGAAAAATTATTATTGAAAAGATCCATTATAACAACAGCTTGAACTACATTTTCTTGACTAGGCTCCATTTTGGACAGAGTTCTATTGCTCCAAGTATATTCAATGAGAAAACTTGCTTTCTGCACTTCTCAACTAGCGTATTTAATCGTTACAAATACAAAATGCAAAGTAATTTATTATGAAGAGTTGAAAAAGAGGTTATTTCATTGATGGCAATTTTAATTTGACAAGTGACAATGAAAACTGACATTTGCATTTGTGTTCTAAAATAAGAAATTCTGTTATAAATACATAAATACTCTTCTTCCATACAACCTTATTTTGGTTATGTATACTCTTTGCTGGCTCTCATTGAGATAGGGATGAAATTATAAGGTTCGTTTTTTATTAATTCCTTCTGATAATATAGTGACTACAGAATTCTGCAGCTGTTGCAGATGGAATGGTTTCGTTTGCTAACGGAATAGAGTAGGTAAACATAAAAAAAATGTTTTGATAATTCTGTATTTTGTACATCCGATGATATAATGCGGTTTTACTCGCAACCGATGCAGCGCATCTATTTCTGTATACAGCTAGCAACGCATAATTAAACTTAAAGCAAAGAACGGCCAGCATCAATTAAATATATTCGTAAATATAACAAGGGATACAATCGGAAAACTTTAGTAGTTATTACAGAAAGCTACATGTGTACAAGTGTATGTACAAGTACTACATTCTGTTTAATATAGCGTTGCCAAGGAAATATTGATCATCATACTCTTATAGAGTACTTAATTTCATTAAAAACCTGTTAAAAGTCAATATAATGGAATACGATTTAGCAAGAATTGATTATATACTTTGCGGTATTACTTATCCTGACACTCTCAAAATTCTGCCTAATCCTGGTCACAAAACCCAGCAAAAGGTACATAAATATCAAGTACACAAAATCACATTATCATAGTTAATAACGTTATTTTTTTGTTTCAGTTTGCCGTCGGAGATAAGAATGGTGTTCTCCAATGCCTTTGTATCAAAGACGAAGAGCCGATTGTACAGTTCAAAACTTTACCCGGGAAACCAATAACTTCAATACAAGTCGCATCAACAAATGGTAAAGAAACATATTTTCGTATCCGTAGTAAATGAAAACAGTTTTTTCTTCTTAAAGTGCCATCTTCTTTCGAAGTTCGGCGATCATTAGGGCAACTTACGAAAACTGTTTACATTCCTATTGTAATACTTACAATTGGATACTAAACAAGAACTTTATTAGAAATTAGTTTAGGTTAATTCTTTCGAAAGGGTACCGGCGCATCTTCTAATTAACTGCTATAAATCAGTACTTGAATGTTAAATTATTATATTTCAGGTAATCACATAGATAAAATTTTTGCTGCATCTGGCCATGAAGTTAAGGGTTACACAAGGAAAGGCAAAGTATTTCTCACTATAGAAACTTCCGTGTCAGAAACAATAACATCAATGTAACTATCCTAATAGAATACCTAAATAAGTGACTACGTAATAAACCTACTGGTGGTAATTACGATAGGATTTATACATAATTTTATATATTTCAGGTGTATTTTGAATAGTGATTTGATACTATGCAGTGGACGGACGGTTACATTCTACCGCGATTTGAGAGAGATTTACTCTTACGTTTGCGAAGATCGAGTGCTAGACATTGCTGCCTTTGCTGCTCCGAATGTTAGGATACATTACTTTTTGTATTAATTTAGACCACGAAAAAATATAATATCATATGTAGATATTCATAACTGAAGTTGTACTTGTAATACTTCTTTAACCAAACTGGCTAGTTCGCTGGATACTTTTAGTTACAGTCAACTTAATTCAGAAGCACTTGAATATGAAATGTAACTTAAGGTATACTTTTCAAGAGCACTCGAGTCCGCCTGCTGGTATTGGTCGGCAACAAAGGGGCGGCAGTGATAGAGAATGGGGAGATCCTGGCGCGGACACAGATATCGTCAGGACCGACTCGACTCATCGTACCCACTGCGCACAGGTCGGCGGAAATTGCCGTGTTTTACGGCGCCGCTGATGGCTCCATAGGACTCATTCAATACGAGTGAGTATTCTTTTTATCATTTAATAATTTTCTTGGACATTTCAATGTCGAAGAAAAAGCTCAAACTGGTATTACAAAATTTGTTCGATCATAAGTTTTTGAATTTATTAATGTTAGTTAAAAACCTATCGGTACAGGAAACTCCTCCGGATTACGTGAGTGTTATGTTATTTAGTTGTAGCTTGTTCATCAGGACGGATCTATCGAGCAAATGCCTGGTGGAAGGTGGCGGGTTGGGCGCTGTGGTGTGCGTGGGCTGGTACTTGAGCAATGGCGCTCACTTGGCGGTGGGTCGGCACGACGGATCCGTGCAGCTTTACCTTGTTGACTTGGACAATGTTAATGAAAAGCCGAGGTTAAAATTTACCTACGTAAGTACATCGTTTAAAGTATTTCGTGGTCCAAACTGAACTATTTTCTGTAAGAGATCTTATTGATCCTCCTTTTGGTCTGTTTTACAGTGTTTCTATTGAATAACTTTGATTCCTTAGTTTTGTGGTGAGCCAATAACATCAGTATGCGGCGGTAGCGTGGGCACAGAGGAAATCGAACTATTGGTTTCAACATTCTCTGGTCGAGTGTTCGCGTTACGCTCCCAGCGGCTGATCTCTGGAGGAGTAGCGTTGAATAACATGACACCCGAAGCGCTAGTTTCAAGAAGGAATAAACTCGAGTGAGTCTCTCAACATTTTAAATAAGAAAGTGTATATTTTTTATTGCCTCATTAATAACTATCGCTGCTTACTTAATTGTAGGTTAGAAGTAGCGCGGTTAGAAAAGCAAACGGCTGCTGAGCGTGAAAAATATCAAAGAAATACTCGATCCTTAAATGCCGGTATGTCAACGCCGCCACTCTTAGAAATACAATACGAGGTAAGTAATAAGATCCAACATTATTCATTGAAAAAATTGCATTGTTTTAGCTGATTTTTATTATTTCTTCTTAATGAAGTTAACAGGTGCTATG